CCCCCCCCGAGAGATTGCCAGTCCGTACGTATGCTCCGCCGTCAAAGTGACGACCAGTCTATCCGTCAGCCTGCCCTTCAGCTAGCCAGCCAGCCAGCCAGCCAGTCCGCCCGGGGGCGACCTTGGCACCGCATAGGCCTGCTCTTGGCCGGCCTCCCGGCGCCGCCTCCGTTATCGCTTCGTCCCTCGGGCAGGGCTCTCTCCCTCTCCCTCGTTCCTCCCAATCCAGACGGACAAAAAAGTGTCGGCCGCGGCGGTCTTCCGCGCCTCATATCCCGGGGCCCCGCCGCCTCGCGCCCAGCCGGCCGGCCCGGCCAGCGCAGGCAAGCGGGGCGCGGCGGCCGGGCCGACACGGCACCTTAGGGCCCGGCCGGCGTCGGTGGCGGCGGCGGACGGACGGACGGGCTCGCGCGGACCGCTCCCGTTCATCATATTCTTCATCAACGGCAGTAGGTGGCCCCGGGCCAATTGCCGCGCGCTCGCGCCCCCGCCCAGCCCGCCGCGGCGCCCGGCTTAGCTCCAAGTCGCCCGGTGGCTCCGCCGGCGCCGCACCGCCGCCGCCGCCGTCGTGATTAATTATGTGATACTCTTAATGGCGCGGGGGTGCTCGCGCGCGCGGCCGCACCGTTCCGCCCCGCCCCGCCCCCTCGCCCTTAGCGGCCGCACGTCGCTCTCTCCGCTTCGTCCCCGCTTCGCCCCGCCCCCGGCCACCGCTACAGGTGTAACCGGCCGAGGGGACCGGCGCAGAAAGTGCCGGCGCTTGTGTTGACCCCTCCTCGGCGGGCGAGAGGGCACATATATTTTCTTGCAGGTTGAGGATGCAGGGGCGGCGGTTCGCGAGGACGAGTGCGCGTTGAGCGCTGATCAAAGTTGAGTGATTGGCGGAATTGCCGTTGTTCGGTGGACACTGCAGTAATACAAAACGAGATATCGTTCGAAGTATGTTGATCTATTTACTGCTGATATACGCATAACGCATATTGATGTATGTTCGAAACACGGCACCTCAAAGTTGAATATTTCGATTGCTCTCTAAATTCTTGGTCAAATTGTCTTTTCGTCTAATTAACGAATGAATTCCTAGATTGAGAAATTGTAGGATAAAGCTTTGAGTTTGTAACAGTTATTCGAATGCAATGTCAGAGTTATAGCGGTAAAAATATGAACCTCATGCAGTTTATGAAATTAATATAAAGAATATGTTCCCGTCTTCTGAACAGTGATATGTGCAGATCACGTAGTTTATATTTAAGGTTAGTAAGCTTTTTTTATCCATATGTAACTAATACTTCTGTGTATATCGATTGGTGTGGGTTTTTTAATGCAACTAATTCCGCTAAAGGCAGAATTTGAAGAAATTTTTTTGCCTTTCTTCGGTATTTGTATTCATGTTTCATAATTTCTAGGGCATCGGTCATTGGAAATGTATCTCAGTATTGTAAAGATTGTTTGCTAGGATAAATGTTCTGGAAATTGCGTTCTTTTTCCCCGTCTCGAATTCTTTTATTGATTTAGGTGTCCCAGCAAAATAAGATTGAACTCCAAACCCACTAAAGAAGCTTCATTTGCTCTGGTAAATGCACGACTTTTGTGTTATATTCTTTTGATAATGGAAGAAATT